TGGCCCGTCCTGGGACAGCTTGTCTTTTCATCAAAGTTCCAGAAGATGGAAACATTTAAACCTCCGAAGGATGTTGACATGAAGTCACTTCATCTTCAGAAGCCTCTAGAATCCACCTGGAAAAAAACCAATAGCCAATTCCTATCTGGTCCTCAACAATCAAATAGCCCCTTTACCCCGCTCCAGAAAGAGCTGTTCTTAATTATGAATTCTTACCGGGACCTGTTCTACCCAGAGCGGACTGCCCTGAAGAATGGAGAAGAGGTCCGCCATGTGTACTGCCTGCATGCCATAAACCACGTCCTCAAAGCGAATGCCCAAGTGTTAGCTAACAACAGTAGGCGCCGGAGCCAGAAACTTGGGGTGGGTGAGGATGATGACTTCAGGGACCAAGGGCTAACCAGGCCTAAGGTGAGTGGCGGCAGCAGGAGAGCTTTGTCCTCAAGGAGGCTGTGAGGCACTGCTGAGTCATGAGCGTGTGGACAGTTGACTGGTTAGAGAATCCTCATATGAACTGTTGAGCAAGCCAGGCAGTGCAGGGGCTTCAGATGCTGTCAGCAGTGAACCTGAAACACATTTATTTAAGCACCCCATTGGGGGTGGTCTCTTCCTGGTGACTTTTGGCTTACTGGCACCCTAGTGAGTTTTTTATTTAGTCCTTATAGGTGACAGCTATGGGCAGACCCAGATTCACAGAAGGTCCAGCTAAAGAGAATGGGGGAAAGGTTAACAGAGATGGACTAGAATTGGGCTCTTCACCAAGCCACAGACACCCGTTTTTGTTGTGACGTTCCTAATGCTTAAAGGGATGACTGTGTTTGCTTGTGCTCTTAGCCTGATCTCTGGCATGTTTGAGGTTCTATCAAGAAAGGAAATGGATTTACTTCTGTCCTCATCTTGTCTTTCGTGATGCCTCGAGGGGAGCCAGGCCTTGTTCTTTGACTTGCTCCCCCATCTCCTGGAAGAGGCTCATGCTTTTAGACGCTTACTGAGCTCTACAGGTCTCAAGGGAGTAGATACAGTTATGGCTTTTAAAGGATTTTTCAGTCTGGCCTCTTGTTTAATAGCTGGGGAATGAAGTGTGGACACTTACTTAGTGTCACCAACAGGACAGTAATCTAGCCTTTTAAATCTTGGACCGGCACAGGGCAAATTACTTACTGTTTTGGCCAGCTGGTTACATTTCTAGGAGGCTGCCTCAGGCGCATGGACATGACATTGAGGCTGTCTGTCTCTGTTGTGCACTGTAGGAGAATCAGGCAGATTGCCCTAACTTGTGATAGGAATCTCCGGGTTTGACTAGAGTTACACTGTTGAGTTTCTTACTTGAACAAGAATGGTGGGTAGTTAGAAATTAGCTCTTTGCTAAGCATCTTCTGATTTTCTACTCAGCAGAAACTTGCTGCATTTATTTTTAGATTTATTTAATTTTATGTGTATGAGTGTTCTGCCAGCATGTATGTGTATTTACCACATGCATGCCTGGTGCCTATGAAAGTCAGAAGAGGGTACCAGATCTCCTGGAACTGGAGTTAGGATGGCGTGGGTCATCATATGATTGCTGAGAATCAAAGTCTGGTTCTTGCAAGAGCAAGTGTCCAAACCACTGAATCATCTCCCAGGCACTATCTTTAAGTATTTTTAAGAGGCTTGAAAAATTGAGTCCGTTTTTTCCTCCTCAAAAGTGTGTCATTAATAGTTTCAAAAACTATTCTCGAGAATGTACTAGAAAAATGTGTTAATCCTTTTCTGTATTTTTTTTTGTTGTTGTTACTTTTGGTATAACAAAACACCATGACCATGGCATCATGTAAAAGGAATCATTTAATTGGGCTTATGGTTTCAGAGGGGTAGAGTCTATGAGGGTGGACCAAAGATGGCAGCAGGAACAACCGAAAGCTTATGTCTTGATCCACAAGTATCAAGAGGCACACATAGAATGGCAGGAATCTTTTGAAACCTTTAGTGACACAGCTCCTCCAACAAAGCCACACCTCCCAATCCTTCCCAAACAGTTCCGCCAACTGGGGAGCAGACATTCAAACATGAACCTATGGGAGCCATTGCCCTCTAAGACCCTTGTATTTCTGTTCTTGAGTTTCTCCTGTTGTTGCAGGCATTGCCTTCGCGGTTTTGCTTGAGAAGTATCTCTCTTGGAGCCATGGGACTAAAGTTCGCAGGCCCCTCTTTTGTGGATACAGGGGACACTTAGCTTCTGGTTCGGAGCCAGGCCTTTTGCGCAGATATGCAATCTCTGACCTGCTGTTGTCTCCCCACCCTCCCTCCAGGTGCTTATAGTGGTGCCCTTTCGGGAAGCTGCCCTTCGGGTGGTGCAGCTCTTCATCAGCCTCCTAGAGGGGGACAGTAAGAAGAAAGTAATTGTAAGCAACAAAAAGAGGTTTCAGGGAGAGTATGGCTCCAATCCAGAGGAGAGACCACCTAACCTGAAGAGGCCCGAGGATTATGAAGCTGTGTTCGTGGGCAACATTGATGACCACTTCAGGATTGGTAATGCCCCCTGTCAAGGTGGAGGTCCCTGGGGAAGCTGGAGGGGTCCCTGACTCAGTTTTCTAGCAGAACTGGGTGTGACCTCCTGCTTGCCGGGGACAGGGTTCTTGCCTTGGGTGGTGGGTGGAGACTCCAAGACAGTATAGAAAGGCCTTGTGTGTTACTGAGGAAATAGTTTGGCTGCAGCTTGATCAAACACATCAGGCACTCAGGCTTCTCAGAGAGTGACGAGTCAGAGACACTGGGTGGGGTCACTCCGAGGAGACTGGCTCTCCATCCTGTGTATCTGTAGAGTGGACACCCACCCGGCTTTCATGTCTGTGCTTCTCTTACACAGCTGTTTGTCTTCATAAGTTTTTGGGAAAGTGTTTGTTGTTGTGACATTGGGCCTCATTTGTGAACATTTACTGAGTATCTGTGGCATGATTGACATGGTTAGGAATTAAGAAGCTGGGGAGTAGAAGTTGAGTTTTGTACTTTGAAGGAAGCTCAGCCTAGGAATCAGCACAGGATGACAAGCACTAAGGCTGGCATGGCGTTGACGGACAGTGACTTTCAGGGGTGGCAATACTTCAGAGGAGCATTCGTCTCTACGCCCCCTTTTACTCCTCCGACATCCTCATCGCCTCCCCCCTGGGCTTGAGAACCATCATTGGTGGAGAAGGAGAGAAGAAGAGAGATTTTGACTTCCTGTCTTCTATTGAGCTTCTCATCATCGACCAGGCTGACATTTACCTGATGCAGAACTGGGAACATGTCTTGGTAATGACTGCTATGTCTCAAAGGGGCTGTAACCCCTTGATTTGGAAATAGGAAGTTACTCTACAACTTCCAGTTGTGAAACTGTTTGTTCTTCTACCAATAGGGCAGACAGTTATTAAACCATCCAAAGAGGGGAGAATTCCTGTTAGTGTTTTCAGATTTCCCCAGAAAGACTTCTTCCCTTTAAAAGTTCTCTTTCTAGTAAGGAGAGGCGATGGTGAAGGAAGGGAGGGAGGGAGGGAGGGAGGGAGGGAGGAAGGAAGGAAGGAAGGAAGGAAGGAAGGAAGGAAGGAAGGAAGGTAGTTAGTTCTCACCAAGAACTCATTTATCATGCAAACCCTCATAGTTCTTAGTCAAGATGGGAGAACTTGGCATAAAATTTCTTTTTGGAGAGGGCAGAGGCTTGCTCTGTAGCCCAGGCTGTCCTTAAACCCTGCCTTCCTGCCTCGGCATCTGGAGTGCTAGGATTATAGACATGCATTTATATCCCACTGCCTAATATTTCTTGTTAGTTTGTTTTTTGTTTTTTTTGTTTTTTTTTCCCGAGACAAGGTTTCTCTGTGGCTTTGCAGGCTGTCCAAAGTTGTAGACCAGAGTTGTAGACCAGTCTGGTCTCAAACTCACAGAGATCCGCCTGCCTCTGCCTCCCGAGTGCTGGGACTAAAGGCGTGCGCCACCAATGCCTGGCTTAGTTTGTCTTTTTTTCTTGTTTGTATACCATGTGTGTGTAGATGCCAGGAAACATCTGATCCCCTAGAAATGGAGTTACAAGTGGTGTGAGCTGCCTGACATGGGTTCTAGGAATCTAACATGTGTCATCTGGAAGAACAGCAAGTGCTCTTATCTGCTGTGCCACCTCAGCCCTGACTAGCGTTTCTTACATGGGACCTTGTTTATGGGAAGGCTTTCTTCATGTTCTAGTGTGTTTCCTCCATACAATGGGGTGCTCTTGGCTTTAGAGTGAAAAGACTGTAGAACTATTCTTACCACAGAGCTGTGATGTTCTTAAGGCAGATGACACTGCTTCCACCTAAGGACTTATGGGAAGTTTGGGGTACATCAAGGGCAGTTAGTTGATTGTTGTGGAGGAAAAAAAAAAAAAAAACTTGGAGCACTCATGACCCTTGGAGTGTGTCCTGCAGTGTGTTAACGTGCAGCTGAAATGGACAAGGAAAACCAGGTTCGTAGCTCACACCTGTAAGCCTGTCACTCAGGAGGCTGAAACAGGAGGATTACAGTAAGTTCCTGGCCAGACTGGACTACAGTATTCCAGGCCAGGTTGAGCTTACGTAGCAAAGGTCTGTTGGTGGCTGCCATACTCTTTAATTTGAGGAACAGCAAGTGCCACAGCTCCAGGCCATTAGCGTTTTGGTTCAGTTACCGTTGTTTGCCATGCTGGGAATTGAACACTGGGTCTTGGGCAAGGCCGTCAAGAGTCTGTCACTAAGTCTTCCCTGTCACTGACGTTCTGAGCTCCAGTCGTAGAATGACAGAGGTTCTGCTTGCATTGTGGCTTCTGTTTTTGTTGCAGTCTGCATTTCCTAAGCTCCTTTCTTTCTGTGTGAGCCTTGTTCTCTTCACATTTTCCACTTTAATTATTGATTTTCCTCTGTTAACTTTAAAGCACTGGGTTCCATGTGACCCTCTCATGTGTGTGTGTGTTTTACTTTTGTCATGTTCACCCCTCTGCCCTTCCACTGGTCCTTTTGTAGTTCCTTTGGTCTTTGAGACAGTCTCACTCTGTGGCCTAAGCTGGTGTCAAACTCACTGTGTAACCCGTACTGGCCTGGGATCCTCCTAACTCTTGGTACCCCACCATGCCTAGTTCTAAAAACCCCCTTTAAAGGAATACTCCAATAGCTAGCCTGCGTTCTTCCTCTGGTGTGTTCAGCTGACCTTGAGCGGGTCGCCGTCTGAGCCTTACTTTCCTGCCATCACTAGGAGATGGTAATACGTCCTCCATGGCGTTAGGGAGATGAAGAATTGGTTGCAAATGCTCATGGTTGCCCAACACATGCTCAGTCGACGCTGACGGTGGTGTTGTTTTACTCCTCAAGCATTTGGTGAACCACATGAACCTGCTGCCTTTGGAGTCCCATGGGGTGGACTTTTCTCGAGTTCGCATGTGGAGCCTCAATAACTGGTCCAGGTACTACCGCCAGACCCTGCTCTTTGGTGCCCTGCAGGATGCCCAGATCAACTCCGTGTTCAACAAGCACTGTGTCAATGCCCAAGGACAGGTGAGTCCTGTGTCCCGTTGGGTCATGAACTGGAAGAGTCGATGGCATGTGATCAGCAAAGGACACCTGCCTGAAGTTTTTGCTTCCTGGTAGGTGGCCGTGAGGAATGTCCCAATGACAGGCTCCATCAGTCATGTGTTGGTGCAGCTCCCACATGTCTTCCAGAGGATGGAAGCCCAAGATGTCACTTCAGTGATAGATGCCAGGTAACCCTACCTACACCAGTGGGGCTCAGACAGATCTGAGTTTAGTTACATGTTTAGCACTGGACTCTAGCTTTTAGGAATTACTGATTACAAAGTTGGGTCCCTCACTGAACTCAACTATGACAGAGAAGGAGTCATGCCAGGGAGAAAAGGAGGCTTGGCCTCAGTCTCAGAGCAAGAGACAGGCAGGTTGGGACTGAAGCCTGTGCTCCTGGCACCTTGATGGAGACATTGCAGAATCACACCATACTGCTGTGGCTGTGATACACTGTATGTCATCTCAGAATCATACAATACTTCTGTGGCTGTGATATACTCCCTCTCATTCCACTTAATTATAAGCCCTTCTCTGCCCCTGTTGTGCCTAGCATGCACTAGACATGGACCTGTTGAAGTTGGTATGTGCCAGGCAGACAGGCAGGGCTTATTTGTTGTTGAGGGAGTGAGGAGTGTGGAGTGAACTACACTAATCCTCTGGAATATGTGGCATGGATCTGCCTTTACACTTACTGTGAGCACCTCCTTTTCTATGTGCTATTAAGTTTTATCCTGACATAGTCTTTAAAAGAAGTCAGCTTTTGGCCTCGGGATCTCTCGGGTTGTGGCTTGCTGGCCCACACTGTTACTGCTTACTCTAGGTTCAGCTCTAGACTATTAACTTTGTCCTTGGCCTTTCCTAATCAGGTTTCACTTTTTCATAAACAAGATTTTGCCTCAGTATCGGGATGCCGTCATGTCCCACACGCTCATCTATGTCCCCTCCTACTTTGACTTTGTGCGTCTCCGAAATTACTTCAAGAAGGAAGAGCTGAACTTCACACACATCTGCGAGTATACACAGAAGTCTGGGGTTTCCAGGGCTCGGCACTTCTTCCTTAAAGGAGAGAAGCAGTTTCTGCTCCTCACGGAACGTTTCCATTTCTACAAAAGGTAAAACTGTACAACTCTACCTCTGAGGAGCCTGGGTAGACTCTGTGGGGCTGTGCACATATCCCTAGCCTCTGCTCCTTTGGAGCAGCCACAGGGGTTGGTGATGCTAGTCTCTGTGTTGTGGGTTGGTGGGTAGTTGGATCGTTGATTGGTTGGTTGGTGTGATGGTGCACACCTTTAATCCTAGCACTCAGGAAGCAGAGGTAGGCAGATTTCTGTGAGTTTAGGGCCAGCCTGGTCTACAAAGTAAGTTTCAGGACAGCCAGGGCTACACAGAGAAACCCTGTCTATAAAAAACAAACAAAAAAGTAATCAAGGAGATGATGAAAATGTAGCCTGTAATTGTTTTTAGCCTGTGAGGAGGAAGCACCTGAGGCATATGCCAGAGATGGAACCGGGGCCTTGCATGTGCTGGGCAGACACTCTGCCACTGAGCTCAGCCTAGTGTTAGAGCATGTGTGTTACCACAGTGGGTCAGGGTTCTGTGACTCCATGTCTAGCTTCTTTGTGTCTCAGACAGGAGAGTTGAATAAGAGAGAGAAGCAGAAGTCATGGTGGAGAACACACTCCACAGGGTGGAACAGTAGCAAGCATGTGAACAGGGGCTCCAGCTTCTTTTCCAGGGTTTGAAGGCTGAACCCCAGGGCAAGGAAGTCTACACACATGTGAGGTCATAAATAGGGGGCTGTGTGTTTTGATTGGTTATTTTTTTTCTTCAGGGACTGATAAAGTACTTGTGCCCAACACCAGTCTCCGTATTGTAAGCCTTGTGTTACAGGGTTGAGGAGCTGGGCTGGCTCTGCTTGTCATGGTAGTATCCTACTGGCCGGTGACAGTGTTGAGAAGAGGAGAATGAAATCGACTTAGAGCTGGGTGGGTGTAGGGTCATGACTTCCTCCCTGGGTGGGTCATTGCATCTTTACTGCGTATTGCTGCAGTGGGGAAGAGTCTAAGCCATAGACAAGTTGGAAACTAGATATAGACTGCGTGGCATTCAGAATGGCTGCTGGGCAGGCGGCTCCTCCCTGCGGTGGTGTGAGGCCAGGTTCTAGCAGTGATGAATTTGGTGTTTGCACCACAAAGAAGCAGCTTTGGCGTGCAGCTCCGCCATAGTCTTTATCAGTTGGCAGGGAAAGCAGACACATGGATGTCCTAGGCTTTAGGTCCTGTCAGGGTTAGACTTGTTTGAAGGCTTGGTTCATTCACAATCGGGGAGGACAGCGAAGGGGGCTCAGGATATGAGAGTCATATCCCCTGCCTCTGAACAGGCTCGTCTTGATGTCTCTAGGAAGTTCCTAGTCTCTCTTACAAGCAGATTGAAACAAAGAATGTGACCATGCTTCTCTTGCTTTCTTTGGTTTTCCCATTTCTGAGGCTATTTATTCCATGTTCAGAAGGTGGAGATAGAGGTTAAAAGAAAACCATGATGAGTACAAACACTGAGATTAGCTGGCACTTTGTGATGGTTGCACTTAGGAAGTACAGGTGAGAGAGTTCCAGGCCAGCCTCAGCTACATAATGAGTTTGAGGCCAGCCTAGTTCCGTGAGATCCTGTGTGCTGGGGGTCAAGATTAAAGAGAATCAGTTGGGCCAGTGAGATGGCTCAGGAAGTAAAGGCTGCTTCACCAACTCTGATCACTTCAGTTCAATCCCCAAGGCCCACGTGGGAGAAAGAGATCAACACTCAAGTTGTTTGCTGACCTCTACATACATGCCACAAAGCACATGAGAGAGAGAGAAAGACAATGTAGTCTAAAAATTGTTTGTAAAAGGTCAGATATTGTGACTAACACCAGCACTTGGAAGGCAGGTACATTTCTCTAAGATGAGGCCACCCTGGCTGGGTGGTGGTGGCACACGCCTTTAATCCCAATACTTGGGAGGCAGAAGCAGGCAGATCTCTGAGTTTGAGGCCAACCTGGTTTACAAAGGTACATAGAGAAACCCTGTCTCAAAAAACAAACAAACAAAAGAAAGATGAAGCCACCTGGCCTACACCACAAATTCCAGGCCAACCAGGGTTACAAAGTGATATTCTGTCCCATGAAAATAAATAATAACTATTAAAGGTTGGGCCAGGCATCACGTTGCAGTCTTTAGTACTGGCACAGGCAGGTGGTTCTCTACAAGTTTGAGGCCAGCCTGATCTACTAGCGAGTTCCAGGACAGCCAGGGCAGACCTTGTCTTGAAATAATAAACAAAAGAGCTACATAGTGAAACCCTGTCTCAATATATATATATATATATATTTTTTTCCCAAAAAATACAAATTTTTGTTACCATTATCTTAAACTCAGCATTAGGAATTCAGTAACGTTATCACAAAAACCCTTTGGCTCTAGGGTAGCTTCCTGTGCTTGGTTTGTGCTCTTATTTTCACCCCAGGCATCTAGCCATCTCCCTTTGGAGCCATTAGCAGCACAGCTCCGCTGGCTGCTTCATGCCCCTCCCTCTCTCACAGGTACACAATAAAAGGCATCAGGAACCTGATATTCTATGAACTGCCAACCTACCCTCACTTCTACAGCGAGGTCTGCAATATGCTGAGTGCCGCGAGGAGAGGAGAGGAGGCCACATGGACCTGCACTGTGCTCTATTCCAAATACGATGCCCAGAGGCTTGCCTCTGTGGTCGGTGTCGAGCGGGCAGCACAGATGCTGCAGTCTCCAAAGAACGTCCACCTTTTCATCACCGGAGAGAGATGAGAAAGTGAGGAGCAGGACAGGCGGCGTCATTGGTCAATATGGTCGATAGGCCACGCAGACCTGATTCTCATCACTTCCCTAGGAGCAAACTCTGCACAGACACAGGCAGTCCCCTGGAAAGTACATTACAACCAGTGTCAGTGACCACAGCTGCCAAAGCCTAGAGCAATCTGCACGGGCTGTCACATTCAGAAATGAAGCCTGTGCTTGTCAAACCTGTAAGCTGTAAGTTCTCCAGTTACTCTTCATAACTTTTTACACGGGGAAGATTCTCTGGCTGGCCTATCCATTTTCTTAAAGCATTGGTTGTGTTGTTTGTGAGGTTTGCCAAGATAGTTGGAGACGACTTGGCACATGTCTTGTGGAACTTTGCTTTTGCAGCCAAACTAAAAAAAAAAAAAATTATAAACACTCTAACCTAAAAGAGTACATTCATTCACGGATCTTTTTAAATTCCTCACAGTGTTTTAATGGCTAACACATTTACAGTCAAGTTATAAAGCAACATTTAGTTGTACAGTTGATGCTTGTTCTCGGCACCACTGTCTCTTTAGCTGGTTTTTGAGTCGTGTAGCAGATGAAAGTGAAAAGAAAATCATGCTTTGAAACATTAAACACCATTATTTTAGACTTTGTTATAAAAACAAACACTATTGCAAACAGAACCATCAGGGACGACCATTGCTTCAGGTGACAGAGTTGTGAGACCGAGTCTGAGTTGCTGGGAAGTTGACTGCCGACCTCATGGGTGTGCTCGTGTGAGCGAGTCTTGTTCTCAGCATGGCTTCAAGTGAGCAGACTGTCTGACTCCGCTGCAGCCTTACCACTTGTCCTAGCCTTTGTTCTGGCCCCCTTCCAGATTGCTCAGGAAGACCTGACCTTGAAGTCTTAAATCTTCCTTCCTTGACCTCCCAAGTGCCACTACAAGTTTGGCTGTTTGTTGTCATCAAGAGTGTTGGTTGAGAGTTTTGTTTGTCTTGTGGTTTTGATTGATTGGTTGGTTGGTTGATTGATTTGCAGTGCTTGGGAATCAAACAAGTCCCAGCCTTTCGATTTTTGAGAAAGGATCTTGCTATGAAACTTAGGGCAGCCTTGGCTTTGACAAGTAGCCCAGGCTGGCCTCAACTCATAACCCTACTGCCTCTGCCTCTTTAGTGAGGATTAACAGACCCAGCAGCTCTGCAGCTGAGTGCTGGGTTAGCTGGCTGACCCTTCCTGCCAGCCCCAGGCTCTGCCATCAGAGCTTGGGAATGTTTGCTGAATGTGGGTATGTGGGTGCATATGTGAGCACACAAACACTGAATATTACTTCTTACCCACACGTTAGAAACTGAGTTTAAATTAGTATTTCTATTTACAGTGTATGCTGCAGGGTTCTTTCTGACCCCCTTTCTCAGTGATTCCCCCTTGTTCTTGGAGACAAGCCACAATTGGTATATATTCTCTTATACTCATACATAAAGTACATTTCTTAAAGCAGTAGTGTCTTGGCAGATAAAAGCACTTGGGCTTTAAGTGCCTGAGGACCAGAGAGAGTTTTTTAAAAAAAGATTTAAGTGATATAATTTGGGGCAGCTGTTATGCAAAAATAGGCATTTTGACTTCTCAGCATGGTAAGCAAAGCCAGTTATTCCAGATTGAATTCTAAATTCCAGGATATATAAATGATAGATAAAAGCCAACTAATCCCAAGCAAACACACACTTCTGGATGCACAGATCTGCCCTGTGGTTATTGGCATCTGTGTGCCACTGTTTGCCGCATTCACCATTTATTATGAGAAGGGAAATGAGTTTGTTGCTTTGTTGAAAACCATGATTCCTCAGGTCTGTTTCCACACAGTACAGTTCTTGTGAACAGCTCACAGGACGAATTGCAACTGCCTAAGAGTGCATGGCCTGCAGAGAGTTGGTGAGTTTAATGTAAGAGATGACATTACAGCAAGGGGGCGTGGCCCTCAGACAGCAGCCTCGTGATGCACACTAGAACCTACCGTGCACATCACGTGTTGTCTGCTCACTCTTGCCCATGATATCCTCAAATTTGTGATCCTCCTGCCTCAGCCTCCTGGCTAGAGATGTCTCCTGCTCCTAGTAGGGAGGTCTTATAGTTCTTAGGCTGGCTTCTTTGCAGCCCAGAGTCTGGAGTGATCCCAGGCCCAGGAAGGCAGGGACTTACCCAGAAAGTGAGACTTTTAGACTCCACACAGCGGTCACAGCTACTGTGGCACTTTTCTTTTTGAGGGAAAAGGCTTTGAATCGTGACCGCTGCTCACAGCTGGCTGCACTATGTGCAGCATTGGAAACAAGAACAAGCTAATCACAGAGTGCCTGCAGCAGAGAATCAGCCCTCTGCCAGCTTCCAGAGGGCTGGTAATTGAGTGCAGATGGCCCAGGCAGGATGGGGGGTGCATGTCGCTGGTGACTCATACATACCTCAGAGGACCAAGGTGGTTCCAGAAGCTTTGATCCCTGATTGTGCCCTTGTGGAGTGAGGAGACAGGATGCTGAGAGGTGTCGCCTATGCTTGCTGACTGCCTTCTGCTGGGCCTTCCTGGGATCTGTCTTCAGACAGCCCAAGTTTAGGTTTGATGTGCCCAGGGTCTCAAGATGGCAAAAGACCTAGGGAAAGACAGCAGGACTGGGACGTTCTTTACAGCCATCCCAAGAGTCTGGATGTGTGAGCTGTAGATGAGTGTGAGGTGCTGGGCGTTTCCGGAAAGAATACTTTGGAAGCCATGCTTTTCAGGGTACATCCCCCAGGGTCCAAGGCCTCTAGCCTTCCTGCCCCGCCCCCTCCTTTGTGTTTAATGTCCCCTATGCCTCTGGCCACACTGCTGCCATTCCTATGAGACTTAGGACCATGTAAGAGAACAGAACTCAGTCTCAGAAGTGGATGGCGCCCTGTACTGTGGAGGCTCTGAATGCCACAAGCTCAACCTGGCTGTCCCCTAGCAACCTGCTAGCCTGCTCTCCCAGAGGCCCACAGTTCAGGGGTGCCCTGACAGCCTTTGCGCATTTGGCTATGACCATTCGGGCACATGGCCTCAGCCCACATGTGGCAGGAAGGCTGTCTGCTGATGTCTGACTGGGGAGCTGTTCACGAGCAGCCCATCTGCTTTCCCAGCTGAGCAAGGCCAACTAGAGCATCCAGCCATCTCCATCCTCACTGAACTCTTCCTCTCCCCAGCGGGTCATGCAGGGTGAGTTTTCCTGGCCTCACAGCTGGTCTGTCTGTCCACAGGTCAGTCTTCTTGGCCTTTGTTCAAGGTCAGCTTGAAGGCTGGGGATGCTCATTTGTCCGAGTCTCCTGGTATTGGGATTGGATAGCGCCTGGCACAGTGTGTGCAAGTGTGTGTCCCCCCCCCCCCCCATTTATTTCTGGGTTTTTGTTGGGTTGATTTTTTTTTTTCTCTAGTGCTGGTATTAAACCCAAGGTCTTGCAGTACTATATAAGCTCCCTTCGCTGAGCTGAAGCCCAGCTCTGCTTGGCATCATGGAGCAGGGAATGATCTGCCCTGTCCTTAGAGAGGAACAGAGGGTGAACGAGGAAGGCGCTCTCTCTCCCTCATCAGAACCCATCTTGAATGGCTGACATAGTATCTGGTGGAAACCTGCATTTCCCACCACCCTTCCCCTGGTGGTTAGACGTGACCGGGGAGACACGGATTGGCCACGGGGAGAGTGCATCCCAGTGGAGGGGACACCCAACCTCTGTTCTTCGCTTGCCAGGACCAAGTAAGGCCGAACCTCTACAGGTTCAGGTGCTCTGTATAGAGCATGTGCAACGCAGTCCTGCACTTGGGATGTGAGGACGGGGGGGAGGGGTGGCAGACATCATCCCATGGGAACTATAAAAGGATAGTCACTTCAGCAGTTTTCCTGTGTGTTTAAAAGAAAATTTATCAATGAGTTAGAATCCATAAATCGGTCAGAGCTACTACAGATATACCTGTGTGGGTTGTCACCGAGCAGTGGTTTTAAGGGCCTCAAATGCCTTCAAGATGGCATGCTCTGTCTGACTGGCTTTCCAGTGCTACTTGGAGATGCTCTGAGCCTCCCTGGTCCTTGTCCTGTTTCTGAAGCTCTCATCCCTCATCCTTCTACTAACTGTCTATTTTAAAAATAGCCACCCTGTGTGTGAGCCTGGTTTTCTCCAAGGCAATTATTCCAACTTCCTTCAAGACTGTTTTCTGAAAATTTGTATGTTCTTAAACTTTTAAAGAGTAATCCATCCACAATACAAACAAACAAATAAGACAAACCAGGCACCGTGTCTGGGGCAAGAGGATCCTGATTAGTCTTGTCTCAAACAACAGAAATCAATAAAGCGATATGTGGTCAGCCCAGTCTACACAGTGAGATCTTGTCTCAAAACAACAACAGAAATCAATAAAGCAAACCAAAATGGCATTGGGTGCTGCTGGTGTGTGTGTGTGTGTGTGTGTGTGTGTGTGTGTGTGTGTGTGTGTGTGTGTGTGTGTTTGAGACAAGGTCTTATGTGGCCCACATTGGCCTTGAACTCATGTAGCAGATAACCCAGAACTCATTGTTCTCCCTCCCAAGTGCTAGGGTTACAGCTGTGTGGACCACATTTGCACTTTCTGTGTGAAAGATTTTGAGAGCATGCGTCCCTGGGTGAGGAGGCTTGGCAGTATTATGCCTTATAAACACCAGGTGGCAGTAGGACCAAGTGCTGCCCAGAGCCCCCTCTGGGTTCCTTGGCCTTGCTGCTCCCAGAGCCTTAGGCTTTCCCTCCCTCCTTCTCTTCCCCTTAGCTCATGGCTGTTGCCTGCATCTAAGTTGTTCTATTACCAATAAAGACTCGGGAGTCAGATACTGGGGTGAAAACCTGATAGATCAAAGAAGCAGAGCAGGAGTGACCAGCTGACTTTTTTTTTTTTTTTTTTTTTTTTTAACCAGACACCAAGCAAGCATCTCTCTGTCCACACATCCTGGATCAAAGAGACTGAGAAGTCCCTCCTATAAGCAGGAAGTGCTTATCTTCTCTGTCCATATTCCTGGCTTCTCTGTGGCTCACTCTGGTTGTCTAGTCACCGTCTCTGCCCCCTGATTCAAGGTTAAGTTTATTAACAGTCTGGATGTCACAGTGCAATCAAATATCCTGCAACGCATGGCAGTGGGAGGAGACAGACATGTCGACATGAGTGAGAGAGGGAAAGAAAATTGGGAGTTGAGTGAAACTACAGTTGGGCTGGAGAGATGGCTCAGTGGTTAAGAGCACTCACCAACACCCACACCCACACCTAGTGGCGACAGCCACCTAAAACTCTAACTCTGGGGGATCTGATGCCCTCTTCTGGCCTTAGGAAGCTCCTGCCTGCATGTGGCAAACATTCACACAAACACAAGATTTCACAATTTTGGAAAAGCTTGTCTATATAGCTAATTCTAAGCCACCCGGGGCCACATAGCAAGACGCTGTCTCAAAGAGCGGTGTGTGTGTGTGTGTGTGTGTGTGCGCGTGCGTGCCCTTGATTTCGGTGTTGGTAAATGGTGGAAGCCGTTAGATCGAAGTGAGGAGCTAGATCTGACGTAGACCCTCCGCTGAATTCTGAGCACGCCCAAGGCTGGTTTGAGAGAAAAGTCTCTGCGACCATGCTGCAGTCCCCCATCTGTACAGTTCTACTGCTCCAGACTTTCCCGATGTTCACCTCAGTTTTCTGGCAGCTGGGGACACTCGGGTCCTGCCCACCATTGTCCTCCCTTGAGCAAAACTCCCTGAACATAACCAAAGACAGCTTACATTATCACCCCAACAGCCGCTTAGTTCTAGTTAGCATGGATCTTGTGTGAACATGAAGACAGTGAGTGCATATCCTCTGAACACAGGTGCAAACTGACCCGTCTCCTGCCTCCTCCAATCAGTACCAAGGAAAACTTTCCACACAGTGGGTCATTCCTGGAGAGAGAGAGACAGAGAGAGAGAGATGGGGGAAACCTGGGTTGTCTGGAGAGAGGTGTTTGGTTTTTAGACAAACCGAATCTGTGGCAGGAGACTTTCTGGCAGGCATTTTTCCCAGAAAGGCCAGCAGGGGTGTACTAAGTTGCCAGGTCTTGCTGCCTTAGCAAGCCATCAGCACCTGTACCAAGTGAATTCTGGCTTCTTAGTGAGGCTGCTCATCAATACGAACACAGGTCCCAGAATGTGGCCGTCTACACCAGGGTTTTGTTTTCATGACAACCTCCAGCCACAGCAGGTGGGGAGGTGGGTGTCACACCTGTGCATCATTCTCCCAGCTGAGAAACCCGAGGCAAAGACTAAATCTGGCTGCCTGACTTGACTCCCAGGGTAAGGAAAAGCAAGAACCCAGCAGTCTCATCTGTGCCCACAGGGTCTCAGACTCTCAGAAAACAACAAGCAGTCCCCAGTTCCTTAGGTGGCAGAACCAGCTGCACTGCCTTAGACATTTGTCTGAACTGCATCAAAGCAAAACAGCGTGTATGCTGACACACGATGCTGCCCTTACTGCCATAGACATCACATTTCCAAGACTTAACTAGTTCTTCCCATTGCCTAGGAAGCACTGGGGAGAGAGCCTGGACACAGAAGATGCTATCTTGAAGGGTGGGTATCACTGAGCTTTGGGGACTTTGTCCAGACCGGGACATTGGTAAGGCCCCATCCCTGAATGGACACAGCAGGAAAGAGGCTGCAGTAAACGCCAGATGATGAGTATTCAGACCACTGACCAGAGGTCGGGTCAGACACCTTCCCTAGAGTTTGTGAGCCTGTGTGCAGCAGAACCAACTTGCAAAGACAGAAGACACAGCTTGGTTCTTAACCTCAATGGGTGGCAGGCTGGGCAGATTCAGCACCACAACCTTCTATTGCAGTCTTAGAAGGTTCGTCCTAGGCTTTCTGAGGATGACTTTTGTCTTGTGGTTGGTTGACCATGTTCATCCTTCCACGGTTGCGTGCGTGCGTGCGTGCGTGCGCGTGCCCTGAGCTTTATGAGGACACAGGACTAGAACAATGGCCTCATTTCACCTCAGTTGCCATTGTGAAGACTGCCTTCAGACACATTGATTCTAAGCTGTTGTTCTGAAGGTTAGGATCTCAGTGTGGAACAGGTAGGGGACACGCAGGGCCCATCCACAGCAGGCACCAATTCCGTCTTCCCACCCAGACTGAGCCAAAGGCAGACCCTGATCTTAAAGATGGGGCTTCCTTCTGGTGTTGGCTTTTGGTACTTTATCTATCTGCACTGCAGAGCCAAGGTCTTAGTCCAGTGTGTCCCATTGCCCACCTCCACTCTGAGCAGCTGGAGAAAGTTCTGTAGTCCTTGCTTCCTCTCTTCAGCCTCTCTGGAAGAAAGCCCAGGGCATCTGCAGAAGCCCACATGTATTTTGTTCCAGGAAAGTACTCAAGCTCTGTAATAAACGGTTTCTTTTGTGTTGTTTGACTCTCTGTAGCTCAGGCTGGCCTTAAACTCACAGCAACCCTTCAGCCTTCCAAGTGCTGGGATTACATGTGTGAGCCACCACACCTGGGTACAATCAACAAGTCCCTTATGAGACCATACAGTGCCCAAGCCCTGTAGTGGGCTTGGCAGGAGGGGACAAAACAAAGGAAGATAAACTGGCAGTTTGATTGTTGTAACTGTCCCATGTTCCCCCCAAGGCTGATTCTGTGTCTTCAGGCTTTGGGTGGGATCTACCACGGATGGAGGTCCTGAGTCATATATGCTTCTGCTGGACTCCAGGGGCAGTAGTTTCTTTCTCTTGGAAGGTGGCCCTGTGTTCCACAGCGCCGTCTGGATTCTTCCTGCCCCCCCACCCTCCCCCTTGTCCACAGGACTCTCCCATCTCTGGTTGGGCTCCCACAGCCTGCCCTCATCCTTATGAGTAGACCTTCATTAATCTATTCGATAACTTATTTCAGTGTGCCAGCTGTTTCCTCTCAGGGCCCTGAACTCTGTGTGTTCTCTGTGTGCTGGGCTCAGTTACAGCATTAATATGCATCTCTTATCCTTAGTAAAACAGCTTGGAGGAAATTCAGTCTCCATACCGTGTAATTCTTACCCACCCATTGAAAGGGTATGACCAGGCTAGAGATGCAGCTCAGTGTTACAGCGCTTTCCTAACACACTGGGTTCAGTCCTTGGCACTGTCAGACCTTCCCATCAGTGAGTCATTACAAGTGTACAGGCCGGGCGGTGGTGACACACACCTTTAATCCCTGCACATGGGAGGCAGAGGCAGGCGGATCCTTGTGAGTTCAAGGCCGGCCTGGTCTACCGAGCAAGGTCTAGGACAGCCAGGACTGTTTCACAGAGAAATCCTGTCTCAAGGGGAGAAAAGTGTACAGCCAAACTAACCATGGTGATGCATGCCTGTGCCTAGTACTCAGGAGGCTGAGGCCATCCTGGGCTATATAGAGAATACCAGGCTAGCCAGAGCTATATAGCAAGAGTCTGTCTAAAAGTAAATAAACAAAACAAAAACCCTGTACAACCAGTGTTTGTTTGCTTGTTTGTGTGTGTGTGTGTGTGTGTGTGTTTAAAGAATTCCCACATATGTGTAAACGTAAGCCCAGACAATTTTATTTTTGTACCCTCAAGGCTGACAAGATGGATCGGAGGATAAAGACATGCAAATTCCCAGGTCCCACAATGGAAACAGTACTAATTGCCCAAGGTTCCCATGTACCTTGGCATATATGCACCCTCACATCCACACAGCATATGTACACATGCGTGTGCACACAATAAAGAAGGAAGGAAAGGAGGGAGGGAGGAAGGAAGGAAGGACGAACCGTGTCTCCTGTAGCTACCTCCTTACCCCCTCCCCAAACACCTAAGCAGTCACTGGCCAGCTGAGTTTCTCTGTTCTGGGTTTCTATGAATAGAACTACGTGGCCTGCTGTATCACGAGAGGCCACTTCCACTAGGTGTGATGTTTTCAAGGACCTCCCAAGTTAGAGTTTACATCCATGCTTCACTCTCGGTGTGGCTAGTTGGAATTCCAGCTGACACACAACACACTTAGTCATCTGTTGGCCAGTTGGTGGCTGTTGGGTTGTTCCTGCTTTGGGCTTTTGTGAACAGTACTGCTATATACTTTCAGGAGTAAGTGTTTGTACGTATGTTCATGTTCCCATTTCTTTCATGTCTGTACCTGGGATTAACTGCTACGTCATGACGTTGCTCTCTGCTTAGCCATTAAGGGACTTGGTAGACCATTTCCCAAGCAGTTAGGCAGCTTTCTGAAGATCAGCTATGCCCTCACCAACAGTTGAATTGTTGGTTCTACCCCTTTTGGGGAGGGGGGTGCAGCACATCTCATCTTGGTTTTTATTTGCATCCCAAAAAGACAGGTGTGTGTCCCT